TGGTGTGGGACATCTGTCCTCTCAAGAGAAACCAGGGATTGTGTGATTCTCAGATATCTGTCTTACTAATAATTGAAACATTTTCTAATATTACCTTTCAGTTTCAGAGAAAATTCTAAAATTGTGTCTCATGTAAATATGGGTGTCTATATAGGAGATTTGGGCAGTTGAGTGGCAAAATGAAGGCATGCACAAGACTGCCAGACTGGCCTGAGAGAGTGCTGGGATTGTGTAATGTACGGGAACTCACTGCAAGTTCATATTTTAATGAAGAGATCAAGGACTGTTATTGAGATTATGAAATTTCCATTGAGTAGAGGTATGGTAAAGTTACCAGTTTATATAGCTTCTAGACTCCAAAGCAGGTAAGGTGAACTTGAGAGAAATTTAAAAAATAAAAATGAAAAGCATAAGTATACAGATTAATAATGCAACCACTAGAATTACTTTGAAGTGCTTTAAGCTCCTGATACTCTTAACTGTCAAAAAGATAATAAGTAGGATTGGAGACTTTTTATGACTTTAGGATTCATCTTGCCTCAAATGCGATTGCAGCAAAAATTCTCTCCACTTTCATTTTAAGCAGGAAGACCTGACGTTTTGCTCGCGTTTACTGTACAGTATTGACCACTTTAACTAACTTCTATTAATAATCACAGCCTTGAAAATTTAGTACTAATTGTTGGGTTTTAGCTATCATTTAACACTTTGCATGATTTCTTCCCCCTCCTCCACCTCTCTCATTCTCTGTTTTTGACCAGATTTATTGAGGGTTTTGACCAGATTTATTGAGGTATGATTTACATACAGTAAAATTTACCCATTTTTTAGTTACCCATTCTGTCTGAGTTGACAGATGCAGTCACTCAACATTACTGTGATGGAAGAATAGAACATTTTCATCATTCCAAAGAGTTTACTCATGCCTGCTTGTAGACATTTTCTTCCCCACCCCCTAATCCCTAACAAACACTGATCTGCTTTCTGTCCCTATAGTCTTTTTCCAGATTATCCTGTAAATGGAATCATATTAAGTAGCTGTTTGAATCTTGCTTGTTTCACTTAGCATAACGTATTTGAGGTTCCTCTGTGTTGCTGTATCAGTGGTTCATTTCTTTTTATTGCTTAGTAGTAGTCTATTATGTGGATAGACTACAATTTGTTTACCCATGACCTAGCTTCAGAACATTTGGTTGTTCCCAGTGTTTGATGACTCTAAATAAAGCCAGTAAAGCATTCACCTGCAGGTTTTTGTGTGGACATACATTTTCATTTCTCTTGAGTACATACCTGAGTGGGGTTCCTGGCTTGTGTGGTAAGTGTATGTTTAACTTTATAAGAAACTGCCAAACTCTTTTTCCAAAGTGACTACCATTTTGCATATCTGCCATCAGTATATGAGTTCTGATTGTTCTACTCCTTGTTAGCACTCAATAAAGAAAACTTTCATTATTATTTCTAAAATTTCAAACATTCTAATAGCAATGTAGAGGATTCTCATTTTTCTTTTATAGCTTGTGCTCTTTGAGTCCTACCTTAGGAAATATTTGCCTGATCCATTGTCACAAAGATTATCTCCATTGTTGTTTTCTGGAGTTTTATTATATTTTGCTCTGTGATCCATTTTCATTAGTTTTTGTGTACTGTACAAATGAAAGAATCAAGTTTCTTTATATATATGTACTTTGCATTTGGATATATTATTGTCCTAGTATGCATGGTCTCTTGTACAAATCTTTAATTAATATTAGGAAAAGGAAGCAGCCTCAGTGGTTTTCAGCAGGAGGCACTTGATACCTCTTCCAAAAAGTAATCTTACATAGTGAAAAACTTTCCTTCTGCTTGGTTTGTACTTAATGTTTTGCCATATATTTGGTTAAAAATTTAAGACCCTTATTAAGAAAAATCTAGGTCACTGGAATTTCTTAGGTAGAAATTAAAATGATACCTGAGTCTTTTTTTCTTCATTCCTCAATAGTTTACTCTTTAACCTTCAGTTTGGCAGGGGATATGGTTATTTTTAGAATACAGGCAGTAGAGCTAATCTAGTTAATTACTCCCCCAGCTACCTGGTGCAATGAGCTCATCAGCTCTTCCAAGCTCATATTGGTTTGTTCTGGACTAGAATTTACATGGAAGTTGATCAAGATAAAATGGGATTTGTTGTCAAGGTGTAGTCGTGCATTCAAGAGTGAAGAAGGTAGTTTAAGTTAGGGTCAAGTATGGTCCCTAATCTCGGATTATGAAATAACCTTATATTTCTTGGTGATGAAAGAGATTCCAGAGTGGCTCACTCCCATGCTTGAGACCTAGGGCACAGTCATAACCTGCTTTAATTTGGGCACTTACCCCTAAGTTCTGCACTAGAGTTTGGATTGTTTTAAATTTCTTCATTTTGACTGAGGTTTATATGATGAGTAACAACTCATCCCCAAAGTAGTTCTGTTTTATTATTGTCATAACTTCTTGGATTTCTAGAGAAGTGGTCCCCCAGAGTGGGAATGCATGTGCCCCAAGGGGTGTGGAAAATGATCTAGTAGTGTATAGGAAAAGAATGTTGAAATTTCCACTTTTTCCTAGAAAAAGCATAATGTTTGATGTTTAATGTGAATTGATTAAATGTGTGTGTAGGTACACTCATATTGAAGATTCATACTCAAAGTTCACTCATATAGTTTATTATCAGTTTTGAGACCACTGCTCTAGAGCATCCTTCTGCAGAAATTTTAACATGCAATATACTTACCTGTCTCACCTCTGGAATTAACTAATATTATTTTACATAAAAAGAAAATGAAGTTCAGAAAAGATTAAGCAGCTCACCCAAGGTCACAGAATATGCTAATGGCTTAACTGATACTAGAATCTTGGAATTCAAATTTTCAGTCTAGGACTAATTTTGATAAACTCTGTGGCCTCTAAAATGTGACTTATCTGCCTATATCAACTTAGCAATTAGAGTTGACATCAGCATTCGCAGGGTTTTCTCTGTTTCTGAACTTAGCAATAAATTCTGTCAACTTATTTCCTCAAAGAGAGGGAAGATTCCTTCTTGCAAGAAACTTAAACACCAGTTTCCCCAAAAGATGAGGTCTGTAGCCTCTGGGTATTGGTTGAACCTCATGACTCTCCTTTACCCACTTCTGAGAGCTAGGTGGGGATAGACTTTGGCTCCTTCTGGTTATAGAGGCTGGGAAAGCAAATGTGTTGTCTAGAGCCATTATTAATCTAAAGTTCAGACAGTCTGGGCTTCTATAGAGGTTGATGAGATTCAGTTTTGAGAAAGGTTCTCTGGAGCTACTTCATTCTTCTCTGGGAGTGGATAATAGTGTGGTGGGAAGTATGGTGTCTTTGACAGTTTTGGTTTGGGAGATGAGAAAATCAGATCTTAATTAACCGTAAGATATACTTATGATCTTAGTTTTTAATCTTAACAAAGTTATGCAATTATTTTCCTCACTCCATAGGACTTTTACAATTAATGTGATTAATTTAAACCTTAGATGGGAAAGAAGATACTGCCGAGATACTAAAGAATATAAATAGATACTGCTTTGAGGGAAGAACAAGTGCAGTGTGAGGAATGCTGTACAAAAATTTGACATCAGAGTATATAGGAAGAGGAAACAGCCTCCTCTGCAAACAGCGCTTTACTGTTTTTCTTTATGTGGCTTCACAAATCTGTTTTTCATTGGCTTTGTCTTTCGTCATCACCTTCCAGGGGTCCTTCTCTCAAATTCAGCCTCTGTCCTGCTCTTGCATTTTTTTCACTCCTGCACTCTGGCCTACTGTGAGCAGGCTTTGGGCAGCTGTCTGTTGGCAGAGGACACTTTTTGTAGTAACTTGAATTTCTGTAGAGGAGAATGGAGCTAAGGTTAAGGATAGCGCTGCTTCTGGGATAATTGTTACGAGAATGAAAGGGCTGTTGAAAGATTAGAGGCCACTGTGCCTGTGTACAAGAACTGGAGTCATAATCATACTTTGTCTTTCACCAGTGCCTTTTGTCCAAGGCACTGAAAGGGCTTAACAAAATTCTGGCCTGAATAATATTTTTCTTTGCTCTTTGGAATTTGCTTCAGTTAGGAGTGAGGCCCTGAAAAAATAATGGATGTATTGCAGTGATATAAAAGGAAAAAAGCTAAATACCCTGATTTTAATTATAGCTTTGCCAAAAAGAAATATTGCAAAAGTTGGAAGAATTGTGAAATAATGTTTGTCATTTTATGAAATGAACAGAGACAGTTTAATAGAAGTGTTGCCCTTTTCTTACCCAGCCTTGCACTTGGTAACTGTCGTTAGTTCTAAGAGGGAAAAATAAAGCCCCTTTTACATTCCTTCTTAGAGGTAGGGGCTCCCTAGTTCTAATATGTCTTTGCTTCTTATAGTAATTAATATCTGCACCTATAAGTGTGAAGCTAGGCATCTGAGTGAACATAAAGTCCAAGTTCTTACCCAAGAATTTGATTTGTTTCATCTCTTTTGGTTTGTGTGTAAAATGATACAAAGAGTCCGACCCGCCTCTTCATGTTGTGAAGACAGTGTAATACAGAGTTTATGGATACTTAAAACTAATATTTACAACAGGAGATTTTTGCCTAGAGGGCAATGCGAAAGCTTGTTCTTTGTATTGAGTTAAAGCTCTCTGCTTATAGTACATCATTTGATATATGCATGCTGTTTCAGGTTTTATTTCCATTCCCTCTTTGTCATCTGAAATAACACTGCCAGTTACTTAGTAAGTAAGGTAAAGAGATTGCAGTTGACTTCCCAGATATATGTCTTTTTATGGAATTTAGACATAGGAAAAATCTGGTGTGATTTTCAGCAGCTGAGAAACTCTATTGAGCACACACACAAAAATTATTTTTATAAAAATGACAAAGCCTATACATTATTCAATCTCCTTGTCCAGTTGTTTTCCAGTTGTTATTTTCCTCATCTTACATTATTTCCTCATCTTTCCCAGTTGTTTTCTAATTGTTATTTTCTTCCCCTTCCAGATCCAGGCTGGCTACAATAAACATCAATCAAGATGTCCAGCAAAGGGAGCAGCACAGATGGCAAAACAGATTTAGCTAATGGTAAGGGGCCAAAATGAAAGTGAAGCTATTTTTGCTATCAACTGTTCTCCTCCCCCAAAGAGAGTGGAAACATGGATTTTAGTGGAAGGAAGGAAATCTTTTTCTAAGAGTGAACCCTTCTTGAGTTGTTTTGAGTACGGGAAACTACACAGGAAACACCTTGGACTGTGTGGTACTTTTGCCCCTTCAACTTTTATCTGATTGTTTTTCGGTAATAGAGTTGTGCCTCTAAGAGATCAGGCAGTTTGGGTTCTGAAAGGTTTTAAGGATGGATAAAACCTAGGAGATGCTGTTAATAAAGGAGAAAAAAAAAAAATCCAGTTGGTAATGGGACGAAGAGAGTTGTTGGGAAGTTGAGGTTCCCTGGTAATAAAGAGAAGTCTCTTTCCGTGGTAGATCATAGTTTGATAGAGATTATTAGTTACATAAGAGATGAAGTTATAACCTAAACCAACTGGAAATGGAGTTTTCTCCCTGCCTTCCTTTCCTCCCTTTCTTTTACCAGTGCTGCCAAATGTTAAATCATTGTCTCTAGTACAGATCTGAAGGCAGGATTTCAAGATTATGACAGATTTAACTACTACCTGGTTTATTCAACCAATGCTTCAGCTCTAAGCGAACTTCAGAACTAGAGAAACATCCGTCAACTGGATACAGTTGGGCAGATTCCTCAGCACCTTGCAGGTCAGGATTATAGGCTAAATTCTAGTTGATGTGATTGGCAAAATAATGAAATTAAGGAGGGGAAAGTGAGATTTTTCAACATGCTATTTTATTGCCCCGTTATTCTTTTCATACCACTGCCATTTATCTTCTGTAAAGGAAAGTGGTTCAGATTTTTCACTGGGCTTAGCTGCAAGACATAGCATTCTAGAGGGATTTGAGGTATAGAATTGATTTGGAGTTTGACCATTGGCTAAATCAGGGATTGGCAAACTATGGCCTGTAGGCCAAGTCCAGCCTGCAGGCTAAGTCCAGTCTGCCCCTGCTTTTGTAAAGTTTATTGGAACACAGTCATGCCCCACTATTTACATAGTATTTATGATTGCTTTTGTGCTACAGCAGTGGAATGGAGTAGCTGTGACAGAGATCCATGTTGCCTGTAAAGCCTTAAATTGCTGCTATCTGGCCCTTGACAGAAGAAAAATTTCCCAGCCCCTGGAGCTAGATCTTGATCGTTGACTATTAGGGTCCTCCTGCTGAGCTTGAGATATACTCTGGCCTTTCTGTTAATGTGATAGGGCCTCAAAGTTGTTGTAATTTTTTAATTATGATTTTAACAATGAATGCTAGGGGTTCTGACCTTTTATTTTTCCGTTTCCACAGAAGTATAGGTGTGATATTTTATCCCTTCTCACCACTCCAAACCTTAAACCGAATTGCATTTCTAAAACCATATTATTAATCTTTCTCAGCTATATAGCAGTTCCAGCAATTCCTTGTAGGAGCAAAATGCTGTACTGTTCCCCTTTATCTTCCAGTTTGTAGCCTCATTGTTCTCATGCTGTGCTCTTAGAGGTGTTTTTTTTTGTTTTGTTTTGTTTTTAAAGAGCTGCTTATATGTGGGTTTTGTTGAAGAGTTCATTGGAAAAGGAGTTCCATTGCTGCAAAGATTTTCAGAAATTACTGTTCTAATCCAGATGAATAAGTAGTGAGGTACTCCAGGTCTTTGAATTTTTAAACATTGTGTAGTATTGGAGTTGAATAACTCATACCAGAATCAACCATAGCTGGCCTGCCTTTCCTAACAGCGTTCGCTTCTGGCAAGATAAAATTTGTTGTCACCTAAGAAGAGAAGGTCATTTCCCTTCCTTCACATCTTGACCTTAAGTTGGAAGTTGTAGCTCTTAGAACATTGCCAAGTGCTTATTGGGATTTGATTTGGCTGTTTTTTAATAGGAGAATGCTATATCTAATTGTAGATGATAGATCATTCAATATGACCCAGCTATTTTATAACTACCAACATGGTGAACTTAGAAGATGGTGAACTTTCTTCTCAGGTTCCACTGTAGTACCGTTTTTATCATTTTTACATATGCTTCCCGACAGAACTTTGTCTCAGTTTGTATAACTAAAATTATTATTAAAATTATTAAATTAATGGAAATAAGTCAGTACATAAGTTAGCAAAAAGTGAGCCAGAACTTACTCAAATGATCACAATTTCCACTTGTGTCTCCTACTTACTTCTGGATTCTTGGTGGACTTCTAAGATGGTGGGGAAGGAAACTTTAAAATTTAGGAGTCAGGAAGTAATGGTGCTTTCTTGAAATGGGAAGTCCAACTCTCATCTACTGTCAGAGTGATTTTAATCAGTTATTTTCTGTCCTTTTCTAAGAAGATGGCTATGCCAGTTCTTGCAGGGATGGCTTTTTTCTTTTTCTTATATTTAGTTTAATAATTTACTGTAACTAATGGATGCCCATCCAGCAGAACAGAGCCTAAGGTAGTTGTATCAAGTATGCTTTCATATAGGCTGTCAGTGCTTTGTCTCTTCAGAGTTTATTGTACTCTTAGGTTCTGCATTTCTTCAATTCTATTGAAGTACCTTTATTTGTGAGTGTCTTTGATCTTAATGTTTTCAGTTTCTTCTCCAAGATTCCCCCTAAGAAGATAGTTTTTATAAGCATTTGTAACAAAAACACTTGGACCAAAGTTGGTTTCTGGGTCTTTTGATGTTACAATTTCTTAGACTAAGGTGGGGAAATGCTTCTGATCACTATCCTGTTTCCTTCTATTTTCCCTCCTCACCGACTCATTTCTCACTTACATGCAGGAAGCATGTCTAGCAGTCCAGAGGAGATGTCTGGAGCTGAAGAGGGGAGGGAGACATCCTCAGGCATTGAAGTGGAGGCCTCAGACCTGAGCTTGAGCTTGACAGGGGATGATGGTGGCCCCAATCGCACCAGCACAGAAAGTCGAGACACAGATACAGAGAGCTCAGGTGAAGACAAGGACTCTGACAGCATGGAGGACACTGGGCATTACTCCATCAATGACGAAAACCAAGTCCATGATCGCTCAGAGGAAGAGGAGGAGGAAGAGGAGGAGGAAGAAGAACATCCTCGGCGTCGTGTACAGCGCAAGCGGGCCAACCGTGACCAGGACTCATCAGATGATGAGCAGGCCCTGGAGGACTGGGTGTCCTCGGAGACATCAGCCCTTCCCCGACCTCGCTGGCAAGCCCTTCCTGCCCTTCGGGAGCGGGAGCTGGGTTCAAGTTCCCGCTTTGTATATGAAGCTTGTGGGGCAAGAGTCTTTGTGCAGCGTTTCCGCCTGCAGCATGGGCTTGAGGGCCATACTGGTTGTGTCAATACCCTGCACTTTAATCAGCGTGGAACTTGGCTGGCCAGTGGCAGCGATGACCTGAAAGTGGTGGTTTGGGACTGGGTGCGGCGGCAGCCGGTACTGGACTTTGAGAGTGGCCACAAAAGCAATGTCTTCCAGGTGAGGCAAGGGAGCAGAATAGCAATTGAGAAAATCAGACATGAGTTAGACAAATATGAGCTGTTGCCTGTAGTGGGAGGTGGTAGTGAGTTGCAGGAATTAGATATCAGACTCAGTCCAATGTTGGCTCTCATAATGCCTTGGAGGAGTTATATACACTGCAAGATCTATGGCAAGCTTTTCTTTCCTTGAGCATCAAGATTAGTAAAAGTCTCATTATAAGTAGGGTGCTTAGAAATAATCAGAAAAGTACTATATGTGCCCTGGTAGGAGGCATGTAGTATAAGAGCAGAGACTATTGAGCCAGGCTGTTTGGGTTCAAATCCTGGCCCTACCCTTTACTAGTTTCATGATTTAGGTCCAGTTATTTAACCTCTGTCTTCAGTTTATTTATCTATAATATAGAACTATTATCATACACGGTTATGAGGATTAAATAACAGTAGAAGCTAAGCAGTTAAAATCATGCCTGGTACTTAGTAAACACTTGGTAAAAGTTAATACTGTTGTTATTCTCTGGGGATTTTACTCATCAGTGCAGTACATATATTGATACTGGCTGTTTATTCCTAAATATGTTCCCTCTTTCCCCAACATCCCTTCTTGTTTCCTCTTTCTTTGTACAGTGCAAATTAATATTTACTAACTGAATCAAAATAGCATTTTCTTTTTTTCCCTTTACTTTTCTTCCTTGGTAGGTAGAGTCCTAGTTCACCTGAGCACTTAACCCTGTATTAGTTCAACCTTCCAGAGTCAACTGAAATGCTCTCTTATATCAGAGAAGTTTTTTCTCTCCCTCTCCTTTAACTCTTGGAAGAAATTAGACTTTAACCAGTTGGAGTTGGTGAGCTAAGTTTTCAGCTGTTGTGAAACAAAAGGGGGTGAGTTGAGGTTGTCATTATATTTTTTTCTCTCAAATTCACCTCCTCAATTTCTTTTGTGTGTCCCTTTCTTCATTCTTAAAAACACAGGCAAAGTTCCTTCCTAACAGTGGTGATTCTACCCTGGCCATGTGTGCCCGTGATGGGCAGGTGCGGGTAGCAGAGTTGTCTGCCACACAGTGCTGCAAGAATACAAAGCGTGTGGCCCAGCATAAGGGAGCATCCCACAAGGTAAGTCAGTCCTTGCCCCAAAGGAAGTGCAATCCAGCTCTGTGGATCTCACCAAGGCCCTCTTGTATCTGTTTATATATTTTTCTAACTTTTCAATCTATTGAATTTAGAGAGAAACATCAGTTTGTTGTTCCATTTATTTACGCATTCGTTGGTTGCTTCTTGTATGTGCCCTGAGTGGGGATCAAACCCACGCCTTGGCATACCCAAACAATGCTCTGATCAACCAAACTACCCGTTCAGGGCATATCTCTGTTTATTGTAGTCACCTGCTGCCCTTCTTTTAGTGCTAAGATTTGTATATAAGAAGAGAGAAAGAGCAGCTACCATCCTGAATTTCTTGGAAGGCAGATATTTGAGAGATCTTTTGATCTTGCACATGCAGCATTTATTTATTTGATTATACTTAATTCCTAAGATGAACCATAGTTAGTTTGGATATCTTTGAGGTCGTCTATGCCTTCCAAACCTTCAGACTTCACTCTGATCCTCTTTGGAACATCTTATTAACAGTTCAAGGTGCTAGTTGTTGCTTCCTCACATTAGAGTTTGGAATATAAACCAAATAGTCATAGTGGCAGCCAGTGAGAAGCTGCCTAGTCTTAAAGTAGGTACCATGTCTTTCCATGTCATGGAAAGAGGATGGTCCTCTCATAAAAAGCTTAAACAAATGTAGGTGGACTTGGAGTACCCTTTTCCAGATGGCTCAGGCAATATGAAAATTAGGTATTTCTTTGAATCTCAGGTGTACTTCCAACCCACTAAATAACTAATTTCAAGAACCAAGACATAGGGAATTGAAACTTGGACACCATCTCTTTCCCAACCTGCGAGTGTGGAATTGATTTTATTTGATTATGAGCCTTAATGACTGATGTTTCCCTTTGGTATCGCTGTTAAATTCCTTGGGGACTTAGTTAAAATAGCAAATCATCTGTCCTTTCAACTTGTGTAGGGTAAACAAGCTATAAGCAATTTACATAGAACAAGAGAGGATGGGCTTATAAAATTATCTCCTTTCCTGGAATTTTATAACAATAAGAGGTAGACATTTTCTCTGGCTGAGATGTTTTAAATGCAACCCTTTTTTAACATAAAGGAATGAACTAGATAACCTCTAATTCTAATCTTTAGAAACCTCATCCTATCCCTTTTTTCTTCTCCAGTTGGCCCTGGAACCAGACTCTCCCTGTACATTTCTATCTGCAGGTGAAGATGCAGTTGTCTTCACCATTGACCTCAGACAAGACCGGCCAGCTTCGTAAGTATAGCAATAATACTTTTACAGAACTGGACCTCTTGGCCTGGAAAATATTCCACGTGGCCTAGGTAATGCTCAACTCTGATCCATCAGAATGGTCTCTTTGTGTCATTGAGAAGCAGATTAGGGTTTAGGGGAATATCTTACTTCTTTGTTACTCATTTGTCAGCAATGAAGTACCATTCAGTCCAACTTTATTTCCAAAGCAAGGTTCAGTTATCTTATTATATGTGAGCTTTAATAACTCTTCATTCACTTGGGTGCTGCTCAACTTACCCATAAGAAGCATATTACTCTACAGAGCAGCTTAGAGATAATGGTCCTATATAATTTTCAGTTCAATTACATATCAAAACATGTAAACAATTCAATGATAAATTTTGAACAAAAATATTGGTAGCTCATATCACAGGTTCATTTCTATATCACTTTGAGACTCAAGGGTAAATTATATCCTTTCTTAGCTGTGTGATATCATAGCATCTTACTTGGATCTAAGCAGTCCGTGGGATATGAATATGTGTCTTTGTCTCTCTCTCGTACACGCGCAAGCATGCATGCACACAGGATATTCAAATAATAAAGTATATGGACAAAATGTAAATGCTCTCTCATGTACACCACCTCTGCCCCAGACTTTTCTGACTGTTGGTAATCATTGTCAAAAATTTTGTATACCTTTCCAATCCTTTTTGCACACCTTTATGTATCTTAATATAGACACATACACTTTTCCCTGTTAATGGGATTACTTATATGTATATATAAACCTGTAGATAGAAACATACCTGTTTCTGCATTTGCTTGTTTCATGTTGTAATGTATTTTGGAGATCTTTCTCTGTCATACCATAAAGACCTACCTTATTTTTAACCATGACATATACATTACAACATTTGCATACCACAGTTTATTTCACCATGATCTTGTTTATGTAGTATCTACATTAATTATTGTCTTAAAAATTATTGTAACAAATCTCGTATGTCAATACCGATATTGAGTAAGAGATGTCACTGATTTACATAGTAAACAGGTAAAATAGTATAAGTTAATTTAGGGAATTTAATATTAAGGCTGATTATTTTTAGACATAAGTATAGAAAAAGTCATCTAGATTGTGGAAGAATTTCAAGAACTGCTTAAGTGATAGAAATGTTTTTGGGCTGGCAGAAAAGATTTACTGATTACTTATATAAATGCAAGAGGGAGGTACTGGGTTTATACTTGAAAGGGAACAGGCTTGGATGACAAGGGCTCTGCCTTCTAGTACTAGCCTGCAGTTACTTAGCTTTGAGAAAATTATTTAATCTCTTGAAATGAATGATGTTTATTATGTTCATTTCGAAAGTTCTATGGTTCTGTGATGATAGTGGAACATCATTAACAAGTTTTCAAGAGTGGAAAGGAAGGGCAAAGATGCAAAAGTGATATGAGTTTGTTTGGTCTACTCTGGTGGAAAATTGTGAAGCAGAATGAGATCTTACCCTGTGGATCAGAGTCAGAGGAAAACTACTGTTAGGCTGCAAGGATTTGGGAATCTGGTTCTAGTAATGAGCACAGTACACAACTTTGGCAGATTATTGAATTTGTAATGGAATGATAGCAGAAAGCCTGGCTGAGAGATTACCAATGGCTCTAGATGATAGATGGGATAGAAACTAAAAGGAGTAACATAGGAGAAGGGCCAAAATCTGTATTTAAGGAATAAGAAATAATAGAGAGCAAGCCTTCAAAAAAGTTTTGCTTTAGGGGTTGAAGAAGTAGTAGAAGTCTGGAATGAAATGGGGGGCTGAATGTGAAGGTCATAGCCAGGCATTGTTATATGGAGTTGGCAAAGGGGAATTTTTCTTTTGCGTATATGAGTCTTTTGCGTAGTTGAGTCTTTGGAAGCAGGTGAAATTGGCTAACATCTTAGGAAAAGAGTTCAACTTGGAGCTTGTGGATGAATATTCCTTAAGCCAGTGGAAGCCAGTTTGAAGTATTCTTCAAAGGAATTTTTTGGTCTGATCTGTAATTATTTTTCCATTTTTGCTGGAACATACCTGCTCATTAAAAAAACTGAAAATTTTGCCCTGATTGGGTGGCTTCGTTGGAACATCATCCCATGCACCAAAAGGTGGGTTTGATGCCCAGTCAGGGCATGTATGGGAGGCAACCTGTTAGGTGTTTCTCCCTCACATTGCTATTTCCCTCCCTCCCTCAAACCAATTAAAAAAAAAAAACCAAAACATATTCTCGGGTAAGGATTAAAAAAAACCCTGCAAATTTTAAGACAAAATTTGGTGGATTTGTTTCATATGGTTTCATGTGCTGCCTCTTTGTGCCATGGTTAATCATTTTTATAGCACCACTGAATGCATGTTCCTCAGAGAGCTTAAGGTACTCTGTGTATTTATCCATTAGGAGAGAGAATTTTTTGTTTGAGGTAAATAAATTGCAGCATGAAAAGATTGAGCTCTTTGTCAGAATTACATGACAGTGGAGCCATTACTTCATAGTCAATCCCCACAGTTTCTTCATTTTGCTTCCACATGGTAACCTTTATATTTTTCAGACCCTCTCCTGAAAATCCAAATTGCTGAATAGTCCTATGAAAAGGAGCAGCTTCTGCTCCTACTACTTTTTCCCTGTCAGAAACTCCATTAACATGATCTCTTTCTATTCCTTAAACTCTTTTTTATTTTGTTTTTGCCTAGTATTTTTGAGGGTGTGTGTTTTTCTTAATAACATTCATTTTTAATGACCTATGTATACTATTCTTTTAATGGAAGGCTGCAGTTTTTGTTTTTAATTGATTTTAGAGAGAGGAAGGGGCAGGGAGGCAGGGGGAGAGAGTGATTTGTTGTTCCATTAATTTGTGCATTCATTGGTTGACTCCTGTATATGCCCTTACTGGGGATTGAACCTGTAACCTTGCAAGGCATGTTAGGACAACGCTCAAACCAACTGAGCTACATGGCCAGGGCTAATAAAACTGCAGAGAATTGTAAATCATATAAAATCTTTCCCCTTTGCCTGGAGCTGTTCTAGGCTAGAGTGACTGGCCATATGTAGAGGAGATGCTGAAATCATTTTTTGTACGAGAAACTTGTGATTCTATTTCTTTCAGTTTTCATAGCAAAAGAAATGAGCAAAAGCTTAGATTACAAATGAAAGCTAAAGCCCAGTTCTTTCTTTTAACGTCTTTCCTTTTTTGTAGATTTACTGATCTTTATGATGTCATATTTGACTTGTTGGACAGTTAGATCTGGGAAGAATATTCATATTCATAGTGCTACCTCTAAGCTGGGACAAATTATGGCTAACATCAGTTTCTGGCTAAAACTCTGAACTTTCATAGCATTTATTTAGGGTCCCATGCCCTCCTAAGGAGTCCCATTTTTTGGTGATACAACCAGAAGAATAATTTAGAAATTATTTTCAGCCTTAGAAACAGCTATTTTCAGGGTGATCACTTCATAAGTTGTATAAATGTCTAATCACAGGGTTTTATCCCTGAAACTAACGTAATATTGTATGTTAACTCTAAAGGTAAAAATATTTTTTAAAAAACAAACAGCAATCTTCATAAGAACCTCCTCTCCTGATTTGCTTCAGATAAGGGAAGGAGAGTGCTGTTTCCCTTTGGATTGCCCCAGTGCTAGAAAACTGGTTTGTCATTCTGCTGTGTGCGTTAAAAACAAAACAAAACATTGTTTTGTTGATTTGAGAGAGAGAGAGAAACATCACTTGGTTGTCCCACCTATTCATGCATTCATTGGTTGTTTCTTGTATGTGCCCTGACTGGCAATTGAACCTGCAACCTTGGCATATTAAGATGTTGCTCCACCCCATTTTTAACAGTGAATTTTAAGTAACACTCTTTTGGAATCTAGGAGGTAGACTCTGACCTTTATGGTCTTTTTTTGTCTAGTACGTGATTCATAACCCCCTCACTCCCTGCTCACTGATGCTTAGGAATATCTATGTGTGAATGAAGGGTGGGAAGACATGGGTATTATTGTCTATTTAATGATTGATTATTGAGTTGGATTCCATCTAAACTGAGAACCACCTGAGAAGCAATACTTTCGTGTATCTTTAACTTAACGCTTCTTGAGGAATACCAGAAAAATGACTTCACTACATTTTTTTTCCACACCCAAAGTAGCATTTAGCAATGTATGTGGAGATGGTTTTGTCTTCTTATGTGTAAAACAAACAAACATTACTCTCTGTGCTCTCACTTGCCACGACCATCTGTATCTTTGGGAGAATATAACTTTTCTGCTTTTCTACTATTAAAGGAAGCTGGTGGTGACAAAAGAGAAGGAGAAGAAAGTGGGGCTCTATACTATCTATGTGAATCCTGCCAATACCCACCAGTTTGCAGTGGGTGGACGAGATCAGTTTGTAAGGTGAGTCTGAGGCTCTTCTGTCTTTGACAGTTTGAAACGCTGATGCATTGTGTACTACCAGGTATCTATGTGGAAAGGTCTGAATTGCCTAGGAATCCATTAACCACTATCTTGAGGTTTTCAACCTCTTCCAAAAGTGTTTAGCCCCTTGTAAGGTATTCTCCTTAATGTAATAATTTCTGAGGGATGGCTTAATGTAGGGATTGTCAAGTTTTAAAGAACTTTGATGAATTGACCAATGTCCCCACATAGCAGCTAAGGCAGAAACCCAAGTTTATTAGCAAGTGTTGTATTAGTAAATATCTTCCATATTTTTTATATATAAATTAACATGCATAGAAGTTTTGAATGCTGGTTTCAGATACAGAAATGATTTGACTTGGGAGTACTAGGTGTGAACTCAGTATTTTGGGCTCCCTTTGTTTTCAACCACTTTTCTTTATCTGTAGTGATATTTTTCTTACTGTGAATATCTGTTGTAACACTGGCTATTGATGTATATATCCTAAAGAAAACAGAATTCATGGATTCAATCCCCAGGTTTACCACTTAGTTTCCTTCTGGCCTTTAGCCACAAACTGCGTCTCATCCGTATCCAATTGGCCTGTTTTAACACCATATATATATATATATATATATATATATAATTTTTTTGTTGTTGCTGAGGGATTATCAGTTTTAAAAGGAGGAGGGAGAGAATCACTAGAAAAATGAATGACTTTTTTTTCCCTGATGATGGGTGAAAAGTATTATCTTCTTTTAAATGAGAGTACATTTTTGTAAGTATATTCTGAAATTAATCTTATTTATAAGAAAGGGGAAGAAAGGTAAGGAATTCCCCATAAAGAAGGACAAAGAGCATTAGATACTGAGGAACACAGAATAGTTCATACGCCAAAATATTAAGTATTTAAATATTGTTTATTTGCTGACTTCCTGAAGTTTATGATGGCTTAGTGACATTTGAGAGCTGTGATTTAGACTTAATTTAGAAAGAAAAAATTTGATTATCAGCTAATACATATTTGCTGAACAGCAGTAATTGGTAATACAATAGTCTCCTTTTCCTTTTTTATTTTTTTTTTAAGGTATCGTTTATTGATTATGCTATTACAGTTGTCCTGGTTTTTCTTCTCCCCTTTTTACCCCCTCCAGCATCCTCACCCCTTCATGTCCATGGGTTATACATATAAGTTCTTCAGCTTCTCCATTTCCTATACTATTCTTAACCTTCTCCTGCCTATTTTGTGCCTACTCATGTACTTCTTATTCCCTTTACCTTTCCTCACCATTCTCCCCCTCCTCCTCCCCGCTGATGACCTTCCATGTGATCTCCATTTGTGTGATTCTATTCCTGTTCTAGTTGTTTGTTTAGTTTCTGTTGATGTTTTTTAGGTTCAGTTAATAGTTGTGAGTTTGTTATCATTTTACTGTTTATAGTATTTGATCTTCTATTTCTTAGATAAGTCCCTTTAACATTGCCTATAATAAGGGCTTGGTGATGATGAACTCCTTGAACTTGACCTTATCTGGGAAGCACTTTATCTGCCCTTCCATTCTAAATGACAGCTTTGCTGGAAAGAGTAACCTTGGCTGTAGTCCTTCCCCTTCATGACTTTGAACACTTCTTTCCAGCCCCTTCTTGCCTGTAAGGTTTCTTTTGAGAAATCAGCTGATAGTCTTATCGGAATTCCTTTGTAGGTAACTCTGTTTTTCTCTTGTTGCCTTTAAGATTCTCTCCTTATCTTTAATTTTGGGTAACTTTTTTATTATGTGTCTTGGTGTGTTCCTCCTTGGGTCCAATTTATTTGTGATTCTCTGGACTTCCTGGATTTCCTGGACTTCCTGGAAGTCTATCTCCTTGGCCAGATCGGGGAAGTTCTCCTTCATTATTTTTTCAAATAAGTTTTCAGTTTCTTGCTCTTCTTGTTCACCTTCTGGCACCCCTGTGATTTGGGTGTTGGAGCATTTAAAGTTGTTCCAGAGGTTCCTAGGCCTCTCCTCATATTTTTGAATTCTTGTTTCTTCATTCTGTCCCAGTTGGATGTTTATTTCTTCCTTTCGTTCCAAATTACTGATTTGAGTCCCAGTTTCCTTCCCTTCACTGTTGGTTCCTTGTATATTTTCCTTTATATCACTTTGCATACCCTTCACTATTTACTCTGTTTCACCTTTGTATTCAACCACCAAACCACTTCTGTGAACGTCCTGATTACCAATGTTTTGAACCCTGTATCTGATAGGTTATCTATCTCCTCATTGCTTAGTTCTCTTTCAGAGTTTTTGATCTGTTCTTTCATTTGGGCCATATTTCTTTGTCTCAGCATACCTGTTATGTTGTAGAGGGCGGAGCTGTAGGTATTTCCTAGGGCAGGGCAACCTTCGCTGCCTAGTGGCGTCGTGGCACTGTCTGTGGGCGAGGGGTCAGATAGGGAGCAATGCCACTTGCTTGGCTCTCGCCCCACTTTCTGTCACTTCCCTCACTTCCCACAAACAGATTGTGCCCTTTCATGTGCTGATTCACAGATGGGTGTGTTTGTGTTTGTGTTTGTTCTAGGACCTCGTGGGCCTCCCTAATGGACTCTCCTGTGAGACTTGAGAGTTTCTCCCACTGCCGCAACTCCCACAGATTTTTATAGCCAGGGGTTTGAGTCTTTAGTGTTCCACACTGAAACCCTGGGTTTTGCAGTCTGTTTCACTCCTCTGTTGTTCTTCTTGGCTTATCCGCTTGCCCCTGGCTACCAGCCACTGCTACCCCTGTGCCCTCTCTTCCCGTCTCCACCCCGTCTACCAATCTAGATGAATGTTTCTGTAACTCCTTGATTGTTGGACTTCCATGTAGTTTGATTTTCTGGCATTTCTGGTTGTCTTTTGTTTTTAAACTGGTTGTTAACCGCCTTTTGGTTGTGCAAGGAAGCGAAGCATCTCTACCTATGCCTCCATCGTGGCCAGATCTCTCCTGTGCCTCTTTTAAAAAATTTTTTTTAAATTTATTGATTTTAGAGAGGGGGAGAGAGAGAGAAATGTCGATTTGTTGTTCCACTTATTTATGCATTCATTGGTTGATTCTTGCATGTACCCAACCAGGGATCGAACCTGCAACCTTGGCAGATTGGGACAACACTAACCAACTGAGTTACCCAGCCAGGTCCCTATTCCTCTTTTCTTTCTATTAGCAACTATTATTAGCAATAATTTAGCAACTATTACCTGGATATTCTGTTTATGCAGGGTATTAAACAATGGATTGTGGAGAATAGAGACATATATTGAATCATTTATTTATCTAGCATTTACTGAGCATCTGCTATGTGTTAGATACACACTTAGCTAGACAGATTCTCTTTCAAAGAGCATTCTGGAGAAACATATATAAGGATTGCAAATAATAAGTAATACACCCAGTATTACTCATCTATTAAGTGGCAGAGTTAGTATTTGAACTCAGATCAGACGCCTTAAGTATAGTAGAAACCATTTCACTATTCTGATCTTCCTCACAGAGGACATATGAAAGACAAATGGGAAATTAGTATTTTAGGTAGAGGATACAATATGTTTAGAGGTAAAATAACAAGATGTGATTTTTTTCAAGGAAACATAGCTTTTATTTGTTGTCTTGTTTTTTGTATAATGTATGGAATCTTTGAATAGTAGTTGTAGGCAGCCATATTAAGGAGTTTAGACTTTTTAGCAGAAAGTACAAAATTGCTAAAGAGACTTTAAAGCAGGAAATTTATAGAAAGTTTTACATTTTAGACATAATTCTGGTGATAGTATAAGTAAGGAAATTGGTTTAGAAGGATACTATATATCATCTGAGTGAAAATTAATTAAGGGTAGATAAAGCAGATATAGTCAAGAAATATATCCAGGGAGTCTGACAGGAATGAAATTAGCTCTACAGGAAAGAAAGGGCCTGACTTCTGGGTTGGCCACCTAAATTTAGGATAATGCCAGTAACAGAGATTCAGGGGAAAGGGTAAGTTTAGAATGAGTTTAGTTTTAGAAGAAGGAGAATGAGTTTACTTTTGGGCATCTCATAACATTCAGTTGGTACATAGACAGAAGTCTGGGGCTCAGAATAAGTTTGGGCTGGAGACACAGATTTATGAGACATATGTCCTAATATAGGTTGTAGTTAAAGCATTGATAATGGAATTTGATCACTGATGGAAAGTGTTGATCAGAATTCTCTCTTTCACCTCCCTTTGAGTCTCTGATCTATTTGAGAATATAAAGAAAACTATGATATTTTTTCACCCTGGAAAATGCACAGAAGCACAGCTTTTGAATGTTCACATACTACTTAGATGCTAGCTTAGAAGTTTTTTATATAGAGTCAGGAGAACTTAGTTCCAAACTTCTGGAGAATGTCAGCATTTAAGGGATAGACAGAGAAAAACAACCCCAGGAACAACGTTAAGGAGTACTGGGATATCAAGGAAAGAGTTTCAGGGGAAGGAATAACAAATCATGTCAGGACAATAGAGAAGGGCCTGAAAAGTGTCTCGTTGGCATTGGCAGTTAGCTTACTGATGACTTTAGCCAGAGAAGTTCAGTGGTGAGTTGAGGGCCAAAGCTAGATGGGAATGGTTTGAGAAGTGAATAAGGAGTGAGGAGTGAAAATACTGTAAATTACACCTTTCATAATTTTACTGCCAGGGGAAGGGCGGAAATAGTAATAGGAAAGGACAGTGAGTAGGAGGAGGATTTTTAGAAACTGAGCAGACAGTGATGAGGAAGAAGTTGAGAATGGACTAATTAAAGTCCTTGGAGGGATGAGATAGGAGCAGCTGTGGAGGCTCTGAGATTGGAGGAGAATGATGGGTGCGGAAAGAGATTGGATCTGTCTTATTCTTCACTGTATTTCTAGCACCTAGCATAATACTTGGTATATAATATGTGTCATAAAAATTTGAGTGAATGATTAAAGTTTGGATTAGAGAGATGAGGGAAGGTGAAGGTAGTTTGATGCTTGATGAAAATGAAGCAAGGAGAGAGTCTTGAAATACAGGTTGTGGTTTGTAATAGTTGTGCAGTATAATAGGGAGAACTGGCCAAGTAATATTTCAAGAAGGGATTGCAGATCTACTGACTTATATAAGGTATGGTCTCTGCTTGTTAGTAATAAACCCAATTGGGAAGGTAGCATACACACAAAAAGCTATATGATAATGTTATTTCTGTGAAAATAAACAGTAAGTGATACAAAAGCTGAGGAGAGAGATAAGCCACTTCAAACTGATATAACTGAGGATTACCACTTGAAGTGGCTGAATAAAAGCATTAGGGTTTGGAAAAGGGGTAGAAGAGGGAAAGACCTTCAGGCTTGGTTAGATAGTGTCCTTCATCTGTCCTGATCCACTGGGCTGCTGTTCCTGCACTACATTGAGTGGCTTTTTTTCAAGGGATCAGTTTGTAAGTTTTTGACATCTTCATTACTTCTTCCACCACAGGATTTATGACCAGAGGAAAATTGATGAGAATGAGAACAATGGAGTACTCAAGAAATTCTGTCCTCATCACCTGGTAAGATTCGTGAAGAGCCAGTGGCTTTAGGCTTCCCTGATTCAACCCCAGGGTTACCCCCAAACTTGTTGGTATGGTGAGAGGAGCTTGAACTTTTGAGTCAGACACCTGAATTTGAAGTCTGGCTCCACCACCTACCCGCTTTATTATACTGGGCAGTCACCTCACCTCACCTCTGTTGGCCACAGTTTTCTTACTGACAAAATAGGAATAAATGCCTTGTACCATCAGGGTAAGGCCTAATGAGATAATATCTATATAAAATGGCTGAAATGCAAAAAACAGCCAGTAGAAAGCCCCAGAGATGGTCATGTTTCGTCAGTTTTACTCCTCTCTCTCTCTCAGACTCTGGGAGAAAATATAGGGGAGTTTGAAGGAAAATCTGTTTCTTGAAGACAATATAACAAATGGGGGTGGGGTGGGGCATCAGTCAGTATCTGCTCCTTATTGCAGGTGAACAGTGAGTCCAAAGCAAACATCACCTGTCTTGTGTACAGCCACGACGGCACAGGTACGTGAGCAGGGCCCAGCTCCTAGGCTGGCATGCCCCCTCTGTCTAGGGAGCTGCTGAACAGTGAGGCATGTGCCCTCCAGTGCTCACCACTGTGCTATAGCTCCAAATGGAGCAGCTGGGGAGTAGTTGCTGATGGTGAGCGCACAGTGGGAAGATACAGCAGATGACCCGTGGAGATGCCAGGTATCACTTGCAGAATGCTGCAGATCAGATTTGGCAGGGCCTGTCCTGAAGTCCAGACTACACGCCTGAGCTGGTTCTTAAGCCTTTGACTCATTCTTAAGTTAATGGGTGTGATCTTGAGCATTCTGCTACCCCTGGGTTGGCAGCGTGTTCCTAGTCTACTTGAGACACCTGACTTGTCTGTTCTTCCAACTGAGTAAGATGGGCGTCATATACCTGGGTAATTAGGAGGGGGCACTACTGGCAAGAAGCCCCACCCCAACCCCCAGCTCCTGATCTCAGCTTTTTTCAGCCTTTGCCTTCACTGCTGTGTGCTTGTTCTTGGCAGAGCTCCTGGCCAGTTACAATGATGAAGACATTTATCTCTTCAACTCCTCTCACAGTGATGGGGCCCAGTATGTAAAGAGATATAAGGGCCACAGAAATAATGCCACAGGTGAGGCTCTTTTTCTAGGTTTTTGTACCCAAGTCTGTTAGTTCGGAGAACCACAGCGTCTCACTGAGGTTCTGCAAATAGGAATTACCTAGAGGAGCAGGAGAGTGCCTACCAGCGAAGGTGGTGGGAGGGGACTCCTCACTGAGCCGGAGTTGCGGTGGCTCCTGTGCCAGAGGAGAGAGGGCTGGAGGGGAGTCTCTCATCACTTCAGTGACATTATTTAGTTTGAGCATGAGGAGACTGGACTATTTTTCTTATGATTTCAGGTAACTTAGAATAGAAAGGCTTGTTAGGGTGTCCAGGAAAGCCTCCTCAGTCGGTGGTACTTAAGTACTTAAAAGAACGTGAACTTGTACCTCTAGGGAGGAGGAAGAGATTCTTTTAAATGAGGCAGAGGAGGAATGGTGTAGTATCTTACCCAAGTTTGCAATAACAATTGGCCTTTTTTTTGTTCTCTCTGTTCTTTGTGGAATAGTGGAGTCACCTGAATTCTTTTCAAATACGTGCCTAGCTCCCGCCCCCAGGCATTCTGATTTAATTGGTATGGAGTATGACCTGATTGGGATGTTAAAAGCACTCTAGAGTCTTATGTACGGAAAACTTAGGGAGTCACTCCTCTTCGTTATCTGTTACCACTCCTAACAGTTATCTGTCATAATTTTGACTTGGAGAGAGCAATTATTTTCCCTTTTCTTTCTTGAGCTGAGAAGAGAGTGGAAAACCTGTACTTGGATCTAGTCCATGGGCAAGAAAAGGAGGAGTGCCAGTCTCATGTGGTAAAGAACTGGACATTGTAGTAAGGATTCCTTGCTTGTCTCACCAATTTCAGAGAGTATTGCCTTATTGTGCAAGAATCTTAGTAACAAGAACTGTTCAGATGCTTCTATAGGCAGTTGTGACATGTACTTCATCAGTCTCAGGTCAGCTAATGACCCAGGATGCGTTGGCAAGGTACCAATCGAGTACATATCTCAAGGATAATTCTAGGGCAAAGGACAGTGCTGTCTAGGAGTAGACAGAGCTGGGGCAATTCAGGTTGGGAGAGTAAGGTATTAGTGAGGCCTGTGGTTGCTCAGTAGGATATAGAATAAAACTTAGGCTGTTGCTGAGGGACTGCCAACTCCTTAGCCCTTAGAGCTCTTTGAGAGAATAGAAATAGTCACTGGGACTGGAATGATTCTTGTTATGACGGTGGAACATGCATATTCCCTTGATTGTTTTGTGAAAATCAAAGGAATTTCTTTGGCTCTTAGCTATTTTAGAGTTGGTAGGTAACTAAATTTCCTATGAGGCAAATATATATAGGCCTGATGCCAACCATCATGTGGTTTATTCTCTCATTTATCATTTCAGTAAAAGGCGTCAATTTTTATGGCCCCAAGAGTGAGTTTGTGGTGAGCGGTAGTGACTGTGGGCACATCTTCCTCTGGGAGAAATCATCCTGCCAGATCATTCAGTTCATGGAGGGGGACAAGGGAGGCGTGGTGAGTATGGTATGCTAAGCTGGCTGGCTCCCTACTCTCCAGTCATTAAGGTAGGTTTTGGCAGGGCCTCTGAATTCTCACTGTGACAACATGATACCATGTCTTAGAGGGCTAGCAAGCTCAAAGGCAGGTGGTCTGGGAGTGCTGAGGTTTCAATAGGATATTTTCTTTCTTTTCCTGTTTTCTGCCACTTAATACATGGTTTATTGAAAAGAGAAATGGATCTTAGGGAAGAACCTCTGGCCTGAGTGAGGTGTCTCTAGGCATGGACCTTTTCCAGAAGAAAAGCATTAGAGTTGAAGGGACACCATCCTACATAATGCCAGAGCTGTCTCCCTGTCTCATATTTTACAAGTAGCTAAGTAGTGATCTTAACTAGATTCTGGATCAATGGATATAGTTGGAACATTTTTTGGATAATTGGGAAAATCAGGAAAAGTTCTATATATTAGATAATGCAGCATTCATTTTTAAATTTATTTGATATGATGGTAGTATTCTATTTATGTAGAATATCCTTGTACTTATGAGATACATAGTAAGTATTTAAAGATGAATTGTCATGCTTATATTCAAATGGATACAGACATGTAATGTATATACATAGGGAGAGAGCAAATATGGCAAAAACATTTTTTTCTTAAGAATGAGCAGCTTGCAGTACAAACCATGATCACATCACAGTTTTCGTGTCCTTTGAATGTCCCAGACAACCTCCATGGAGATAGGACACAAAGGAAGCATGAGGATTATGAGTTGGGGAGTGAAGCATGGTGAACTCTTTAAGATGTAGCTAGCTAACCATAGATATATTTTTTTAAGACCCATACTCATGAAGGAGTTACATAGCTTGCTTTTTCATTTTTTTGAGAAACTGTTTCTTTTCCATCAACCTTAATTCCATTCTATTAAGAGTTTGTGGAAAAACAGCTTAAGACCACTCAATGATTGTTCCTACCCATTCAGTGGGGGCTGAAGATCTTACAAGGTTTCTGGACCACAAAAGATGTGAGATAGTTGGAGAGACTACATTTTACTGATTGTGCAAGAGAGTCTGATTAAGAGCCTGTAAGGAGTGGCTGAAACAGCTTACTCTCACTTCCTTTTCATCCTTCTAAGCTGTGGGAAGCTGTAAAGAGCCCAGCCATCTCTTGATGAGGTTTATCCAGAGAGTGGTGTTAGAATTTAGAGTGGTTTCTTGCAGTCGGAATCCCATTCTTTCTGTGTCTGTCTTTCCCTGGTGTGAGGCTATTTGAGATTTCCTTCTGGTTTCCTCTAAAGTTTTGGGACCTGGAACCAGTATAAATCCAAGGCTTCTATGGCCCCAGTGTAAGTGGAGAGGAATCTAAAACTTGAAGGTGTGTCTCACTGTCACCTCTTTCATTTTCTACTGTTAAGTCCTTGTCTATCATCTGCAGTGAACAAACCAGGAATAAAGGAGTCTTAATGAGAATTCTACAGTAGGCATGTAGTCAGAGGAAGTCAAAAGGTGCTAGTGAATCCTTTCTTGATCATAAAATACTGTCTTGAATTCTGTTCCAGAGAGATGCAGAGCGGCGCTTACCCAGTCTCCAAAGTCACTTTACAGGCCAGTTTGCTTTCAGCTTAGCCAGTATTAGGGTTTGATGATTAATCTTGATGCTCAGGTGGAGAGGACAATTGCTTGGATTTGGGCGGGTCCCAGGCCTGAGTTTTAGTGGTCATAAGAGTGAGAGACTAGACCAAGATGTATAGAGACTGCACCCTAAAGTGAGTTTCCTGGCTTATTCTTGCCTCTATAAGCTGAATGATCCACGTGGTCCTCACTTGGCTCCTTCTGTTTTGTTTTGTTTTGTTTTGTCCTAACCTCCCAGCAGTGGGATCACCAAGTACCAGCCTCAGTGCAGACTGATAGCAGTTCTGGATCATAAAGTAGAATATTAGGACCAGAAGGATCTTAGAAGTTATCATCCACATTTGCCTAGGTCTCTTGACTTCGTTTTTTGGCTCAAACGCTAGTCCTTTATTTGTCCCCATTCAGGGACAAGGGTGGGAGATGATGTTAAAGGACAATCTTTTTTCCAAAAAGCATTTTGCTGCTTCATCCCATTCCCCACACCTCCCAGCCAAGTCATAAAAGGCCACAGCTCTTTTCTCTGCTCAGGCATTATTGACAGGAAAAGTCTTGGCACCTTGGCCCAGAAGCTCTCTATTGACTCCCTCAGCAGTCTCCAACCTAGGTATACCATATGTAATTTACTTTCTTGTTCCTTTTGCCATTGGCTTTGTCCTTAGTATTAAGTTTCAAGGAATTTCTTCACTGTGCTTTTTTAATTTATTCACATGTTCAAGCAGAGGTAGGTCAGAGTAAAGGGGTAAGGGACTTATCAGGAGGTCAGTGACTGAGTTCTGTTTGTATGTATAAGTTCTCATGCATCTTTTGGTAATATTCCTGGGCAGTAGAGCTTCTGTCTAGTGCCTCTTCATGTTATAGATACTGGAACCTCTCAAACACTGCCTGAAGGAGCCCAAATATAAACTTTGTAGTGACCTATACTCCATATAAAAATGTGGAGTGAGAAAAGGAAAAGAAGGGAAATGGGGTTTCTACTTTACTCATAGGCTCAGACTTAGCTTCATTCTTTTCTGAGCATGCTTATTTGTAAAATGGAAGACAAAAAAGATTGGAGTCTGTAGGTCCACTTTATTTTCCATGCTGGACACAGCTTCCCCTCAGCTGCTCTGCAAGGTCAGGCGAGGCAGAGAAGGTTGGTCCAGAGAGCACTGAGAGAGGCTTTTTGCCAGTAGTTGTTTTCTTAGATGGTAGGCCAGCTGCGAGGCTAGGTCGGGCACAATGATGCATGGTGCCTTTTTCATTCTGGGTGCCTTTCCTGTCTATTCCTCATCTGACTGAAAGGCTAAATAAAAGATGTTTTAGCAGCTAAATCTGGACCAGCACTTCTGGTGGGGATGGTAGCTGCCCTGCCCTGTTAGGAAGGCTGAAGTTTCCAAGGCAGACCACAAGGGGCATGGGGGCCTTTTGACCGGAGGAAGCTGCCTAAGGCAGAGGCCTGCCTGCCCTAGTTCATCTCTTCTGCTCAGTGAATACACCCAGAGGGTGCTGAGATTGAGACTGTGGGTGGGTGCCCCAAGAAGGTACCCTGGTAATACTCTGCCACCCTATAGATAAGCCTACTGTGGTTTCAGGGCAGGTATCAGGATGCTGTTCCCTGATTATGTACAGGGTTCCCAAGCAGATATGAATGTGCCTCCACTACCCAACAACTCCCTCCTTGGCCTCTTCCCAGCCTGTGCCTTCCCTCCAGTTCAAGTAAACAGTGCCAAGTGAATGTAATTGTTCTGAATCTTCTGTGGGGCTCAATAGCAGCTGCTGCTTTCTTCATTTTTAAAAATTCATTTGCCCCTTGGTGACAGCACCTGAGATGATTTTTTTCCAGCCTTGGGCAAGTTGGGAACTGTGGAATTGGTAGCGAATGAGGTCATCCGGACCCCGTTGCCTTTTTTTGAGGCCAGCAGTGAGCTTAGCCAGTCACTTGCCCACCCCTAGGGCTATGTCTGGGGATGAGGCCACTCACTTGTACTTAGGAAATGAGAAATGGGCCTGCTTTTATACCCAGGCTGTGTCCAGGGTTTCTGCTACCTCCAGGGCTCTTTGGCTTAGCCTCATAAGGAATGAGCCTGCCTATCCAGTAGCTTCCTCAGCCCTGACTGATAGTTGTTTGACTCAAGGTGAGTAGTGGTTTTTAAACCCTATTCCCACATACCTCTGAGCCTGTGCTCCCTTTCCTCCTGACCAGGTGAACTGTCTTGAGCCCCACCCTCATCTGCCTGTGCTGGCAACCAGCGGCCTAGACCATGATGTCAAGATCTGGGCACCCACAGCTGAAGCATCCACAGAGCTTACAGGGTTAAAGGATGTAAGTAGCTGACCGCAGATGTTTTTTCTTCGTGCTACTTATCTACATACTGTTAGGAGCATTCCTTGTCATAGGAAGAAATAACTGGCTGCCCATTTATTTAAAGGCAACCACTCTTAACACCCTCCCCTCCCACACATGTTGCTGTCCCTGCCTCTCTAGGAACAGTCCCATTCCAGCGGGAAGCTTTGAAGTGCCTCTAGTTCATGCTAGATTGAGGATAGGGGACATTTTTAGGAAGAATTATTCTATTTAAAGCCACCTCCCACCTTCTTAATGGATAGACCTGGGGCACCCTTTCCTAATCTAACCTAGCTCCACTTCACCTTAACCTTAACTCCTAAGGGGAGTCTTTATTGGGATAGAACACCAGCCTCTTCTGATCAGGTCCAGGGTCCTATTCATGACATACCCACCACATCCCCAACCCTTTTTTGTTCCAGGTGATTAAAAAGAACAAGCGGGAGCGGGATGAAGATAGTTTGCACCACACTGACCTATTTGATAGCCACATGCTCTGGTTCCTCATGCATCACCTGAGACAGAGACGCCATCACCGGGTAAGCTGGAGTGGGAAATGAGCTCCCAAGTTGCAGTGCACACCTCCTCACTGCTTTAAGGAGGAATCAGGTGGTCTTGGTTGGGCTTCCTAGTCACTGTCCCCCATTCCCATCATAGCCCTGAGGTAGCCTTGCAAGAGCCACTGGCAGAAATGGGTGGTATCTGCTTTTTGTTCTCCATTGGCACGCATGCACAGTGCTGTCTTCTTAAGGCACGGTCATGGGGAGGGAAGGAGTTAAGAAGGAGTAAGTCTCAGGATGACCCTTCTGTTTTCCCTCTCGTGCCAGAAGAAGCCTGTGGTAGGGATTAGCAAACGATGACACTTGGCTTGCTGCCTGTTTTTGTAAACAAAGTTTTATTGGAACACGGCCACACAAGAGTTACATAGTTATGACAAATGTATGAAAAATACAGGGTCTGGCAGAAGTAACGTTATTGAGTGTAGTTGGTAGGGTACATGGATGTCTCACGCAAGATGGACAGCTGTTTAACCATTTCACCTAAAATGTCACATGGTGTGCTGGAGTGCTTGAGTAATATTGTTATGTTAAAGAATTACATGCTTATGATTTTGTAATAAAAGATTTAGTATAGATTACCAGCTCATAAAAAAGGTGCGTTGTTTGTGCCGGACCCTGTATTTGTTCTCTCCCCCTTTAAGAAAAATTCTTCTGACCCCTGGCCTAGAGCATCTGAATTATATAACTAAGACCTAACGGGTTTGTCATTCCAAGGCAGTTACCTAACAAGCATTTCCCATTCTACAGCGCTGGCGAGATCCTGGGGTCGGGGCCACAGACGCAGACTCTGATGAGTTTCCCAGCTCCTCAGACACTTCGGACGAGGAGGAGGGCCCCGACCGGGTGCAGTGCATGCCGTCCTGAGGCCTCACACCCAGGAGGGGTGGGCTGGGGCTGCCAACCTGATCCTGCCTGGGAGCCCTTTCCTGTCTTAGGCCCTTCATTCAGCAGAAACGCACTTTGGACTTTTTGCTTTAGATAAAAGAAAAACATCCCAGGAGAAGGACAAACCAGAGAAGAGTGAATCTACAGAGTATCTAGGAGTGGGGTTGAGCCCTGGAATTGGGCTCCATGGAAAGGTGCATAAGACTCAGCAGAAATGGCCTCTCCCCAAAGCCTTTTGACGGGGTAGAGGGAGCCTATTTTGTTAACTGGTTTGGGGTAGGGAATGGGGTTTCCTTTTCTTTAATCTCCCTTGTTTCTTGGGCGGGGGTTGGGGATATAACTGGCTGTTCAGTACCAAGGAGCCAGAGTAGTAGTGGTAGTAGAAGTGCCACTCTCTCTTTGGTTTAGGTTTTTGACCTTTTTTTCCCCTTTATTTTTAAAAAATCTATGACAGTTATGTTATCCCCACCCCTCCACCCCCTCCCCCGCCCCGCCAGGACCCTGTTTTACTGGGAAGTCCTTAGAGCCCCTAACCATCCCACACTCTTCACTTTCCTTTCTGCCCATTCATACTCCATACTTATCACAGTGTTTTGCACTTGATTATGTATCCTTCACTCTCTTCTCTTCATCCCATCACCTAAATAGGTCTGGTGAGGGAGGTTGGTGGGAGGAGGGGCAGAAGTGGAGGAAGAATAGGAAGGGTTTTACCTCTTCTGTTACTTTAAAAAAAGGTTGTTTGGTGGCAGCAATCTCCCTGTCCCTATCACTGTTAGAGGCCTAATTTTATATCTATAAATATATTAAAAAGCAAGTCAAACTTGGGTGTATCATGTTAAAATTATTAAAGTTTAAATACCTACATATTCTCTATGACTTACAAGAAACGGGCTCACAGGAAAGAGTGAGGGAGAGTAATGATGTAGAGGTGATACCTGGGGTCCGCCTACCCACTGTGTATTGCTGTTGAGAGATTGGGACTTACCCCTTGGGTTGTAAAGGGGCTCCTGAATGGAAGGATCCTCAATTTTCCCCTTCCCTCCCTCCCTCTTACGGTTTTGGGGTTGAGAAAACAAGAAATTGCTTTCAGTTCTTTGCCTCAGATCTCCTACCTCTCTGTAAGTCTTGTGGGGGTTCCCAGGTAGCTCTTCTCACCAGAGACTGGCCCATCCGTAAAACTTGACTGAACTTTGACTTCAGGAATCGTCCTGCCGCTGCAGACTGTCTCTTCTAGTACTGTGTGTTGCAGAAGACACTCACTCTTAGCTCTAGCTCCCCCCCCCCTTTTTTTTTTTGAGCTGCTTGATTCTTTATACCATCCAAGCCCACAACAACTCTCTTCCAAATGGAAGACTATACATAGGAAAAGACCTCCTGCGTTTGACTTTATTCCTTATCCACATCCTTGATATCTTGTGATTGAGGGACAAGTCACTAATCTGAGGATTGATTAAGGTGGATGGGTCTTGGACACCTGTCTTATCACTGGTCACTGAATATGAAAGTCCCAGTTGAATTCTTGCCCTTAAATGCTTTTGCTGCTATTTCTTTGCACTCCCAACCAGCAATTCTGTATCCTAAGACAGTCATTTCTACTAAACAGGCTAGGAAGGAAGAGTGAAAGGATGGAATTCCCAGACACTCCTCCCTCTTGCCCCTTTTCCTAGCAGTTCATATCAGAGTTAGCTGCTGCACTTCCTTTCTGAGGTAGGGGATGTGTGGTGACGGTGTGATCTGTGTTCCTGTTTCTAATGGGGTAGGTGATGGAGTGGGCTAAAAACCATGCACTCTGGAATTTGTTGTATATTTTCACTTAGTAAAGCTTTTTTCCCCGACTGCTGCTGTGTGTGATATGTGGGCCATTCATTTGTGATGGGCTATTTTCGCTCCGTCCGATATCGGTGCCTGGCCCTACCCTTACTGCAGTATTGGGAAGTCAGGCGTATCTGTATTCCAGTGCTTGGGCTCCAACTGGAGACTGTTTTAAGTGGAACAGGCCCCATATCATGGAACGATAGGAGATGGGGGAGAAGAGAGATACTTTCAAGGGTGTTTTCCTGGCCTCTGTTCCAGGCCGCAGCGATGGATTTCTCCCCCTCCCTTCCCAGTCATTCCAAGTCTTCAAAATCCTCATCATTCATACAAATTCTACAATCAGATACAGTTACAGTCAATCACCTTTATTTCAGGGTTAGAACAAGGCCGTGCACACTACACACAGGAGCACAGGACGGAGCAGTCTCACAGCATTACAGGGGGTGGGAGGGCAGATTAGTCTTTTTAGATTATTTTTGCCTTACAGAGAAATTATACTAGACTGCTGAAAATGGCCCTGTCTTCCTTCTCCCCATCTCACACTCTTCCCCTCTTCAAAGGAAGTCTTATTCATCCTCATTCATATTCATTCTCTCGCTCTCACTCTCTCTCATGTTACCTTGACTGGAAAGACAATTCATGCTCATTTCCCCCTCCCTATTATACAATCATCCCTCTCTCCTTGAGGGAGAAGCCAGACAGGGCTGGGGGAACTTAGGTCCTTTAAGGCAAAACTGTGGAGTACTCGAGGTGTACGTGTTAAGGCAGGTGTCTGCAGCAGTGGCCAGAGGGGACAGGTAGGCTGGGCTAGACTAGGAGTAGAAGGTACTCTCCAACCAGTCTGGCTTCCTCCCTCTTCCAACAGCCAACAGCCAGCCCTCCCCTCCCATTAGAGTTTTGCTACCACATCCTAAAAGCTCCTAACTTAAACTCTAAATAGTCTCTCGAGAATTGCATGTGAATTTAAAGTTTAAAAAAAGTTTTATTTTGACTGTAGGTATTTGACTCTGCAACTCCCTTCATTTGGCATTCCCCTCCCACCCCCACTCTGGCCTAGACAATAAGTTAATGCTAGACACCACAAAAAAGGGCAGACATGGCAGTGTGGGTTTAATATACATATATGTAGAATATATATGTACACACAGTTAGCACGGTCAGGGCAGGGCATCTTGGGACAGGCAGGAGGCTGGGGGCACTGTACTGTAGTGATTTGGCTAAGAGGCCTTTATAAGCCCATGGTGCCAGGAAACTGAGGGAGATCGGTTACCAAGTCCCTTCCTGGATTGAATTTGGGGTCAGTGCAAAGGAAAACACTGTAATTAACTTCTTCCCTCCTTTCAGGCTTGGGGTATTCTAGACCAGGGAAAGAGGGAAAGTTTTCAACAATAACCATTCTGGAACCCTGCTGGTGGGGGCAGACTTGGAGTTGAAACATAAGGATCTCTCCCCAACCTCCCCAAGGTTCGGTGTCAGTATGTGCAACAGTCTGAGTAGCAATAAAGGAGTGGAACAGAGGCCCTTCTCTCTGCCCCTTAGCCCCATCTCAGGTTCAGTGGGGCATTTTCCCAGCACAGTCACTCCAGAGCAGAGGTGCGTTGGGGTTGGGGGGTTATCTAATGCTGAGTGCTCTGTTTGGTTAGAGCTTTGGGGCCAGAAAAGGATCCAGTGGTCCTCTGTCATTAGATCCCTGGCTCATACCCATCCTGGGCCCATAAGAGGGGAGCAAAAAGGGACCTGCTGGTGCCTAGGCCCTTCAACCTGAGGAATGGCTAGAACCTGGGCTCTGCAGCCAGTCCAGCATCAGGAACCAAAACTGAACTCTGGCTTTTGTTTGCCCGTCCCAGGTTGGGGTTGGATAGCCCCTTCACCTTCCTTCCCACTGCTTTTTATTAGATCCACTTATCTCACCCCTTCCTCTGTGTCTCTGTGCAGGAAAATGCAAGTACTTTATGCTCTCACACTTGAGAGATGTGGGGGAAGAGTGGAGGAAGGGGATGTAGGAGGAATGTGCCCATTTCTATATGCATAGTTTCCCTAAAGTAGGAAAACAGCCCCCCCCCACCCCAGCCTCTGACCCCCAGCCCCTCACAAGGAAGAGGAGCTAGATGAGCTAGACATGTAGACAGACAGCCAGAGCGTGCGGCACACGCACACACACGCGCACAGTAAGGGGGTTAGGACCAGGTTAGTAAGTGGGTAGATTGGGGGGAGGGGCCCTTTTCCCCCTCCCCTGGAGGCTGGGGGAAGGGAGTGGTCCTTTGAAGGTCCAACCTTCCTCCTCTTCCTCCCCTTCCTCAGGCTTTCTTCGGTGGAGGAGCCAATTTGATGATCTCTTCCTCAGAGGGCTGCCGGATAATGTCTGGAGGCAAAAAAGGACATGTCCAGGGACAGAAGTTGTGGGAGACATTAGGCAGGCCCACTGAGCATCAGCCGTCGTGCTCCCAGAATCCAAGCAATCCGAGGCTCACTCGTGGGAGGGGCAGAAGTGCACAGTAAAGAAACGGCTTCTTACCTTTGTACTTCTTGGCACTGGGGATACGGGTTAGCTTGGTGTCCAGCTCATCCTCCTCAGAGATCTTTAGAACACGGGTTCTATAGTCAACCACCATAGTGAGTAGGTCAGGACGGCGAGAGATCTCAAAGATATGCTCAATGTAGGAGAGGTTGTCTGGAACAAGGCAGGAAACTGAGGGTCAGAGCTAAGTTGCAGAGGTCAGCTTCCCCGATGCTACTAGACCAAGCTTCTGGAACTAAGGCTCAGTTGTTCACATTAGTTATTGGAGGGGGCAATAGAAGAAGAGCTACTAAGCCAAGGTAAGAAAGCTAAGGCACCAAAGAGCAGTACAGATGACTTCCCAAGAAGGTCAGATCGTTGATCAATGAAGTTTCTAGAGTATAATTCAGAATGAAGACTTTAGGTTAAATACCACATCTGACACTGGGGGGAAGGCAGAACAGAAAAATTAACTGGCCTTCTAAATACATGCACTCGTGTCCATCTTCCACTTTTCCTCAAACTAAGCTTCAGAAAAAAATTTCCTGATAGCAGAAGTGGGACTGGAGGGGTGGAATCTAAGCTGCCCAGGACAGCTTCGGGGCCTAGTGAGAAAAGTAATTATGAATAGAGAGAAAGCACAGCCATGACCAGAGGATTTCAGGTCTTGGCCAGTTCTAGGAGATTGCAGGTGCCCTTAGACCTTTTCCCTGGCTCCCCTCTATCTACCGCAGCAGTTTAACTGTCACTTCCCCGTCAGCCTCTCTTCTGGCTACCCAAGCTCTACTCAGATTCAGGTCACTCACCTTACCCACCAAATACCCTATCACCCAAGAGCCTTCACAGCCATAGCCTTAACTTACCTTTCCATCCACTTCTAAACATAACCTGTGCCCCAGCATAGGTTATGCAAATCAGTACCTCTTGCTTTTTTCAAGATCTTGCCTCTAAAATCCCACTTGCCTTTCAAAGTCATCTTTATATATCAATTCCTCTGTAAAACCCCTCCCAGAGAACTGGTCTCTAAAAGTGGATAAAACCTTAGAATTCGTGGTTTTATTTTAAATGTTATCACTTCGAACTTCTATTTTAATGTTCTATTACATATGATATTAGCACTATTTTAATGTTTTTTACAGACAATGGACATACAAATGTAAAGACTACGGCCCTAGAGCGCCACCACTGTTAGAGCATCTTGGTCTTGCCCTGCCTTGTCAGAGAGGGGGACATGGTTGTTTATAGACACTTGAAATGCATTTCTATTTGCTGAATGAACTGAGCCCCAGGAAGGCTGCTGGCAGGATGCCTGTTTCCCCTCCCCCACCTTTGTCCAGCTTGTTGTGGCTCTCCAAGAAGCTGAACCAGGCACTGCCCGTTGTGATCTCCTCACTCTTCTCACTGGGGATGTCCTCCTTGCAGGCTGATTTGAGCTGCTCCAGATCTTCAAGGGTGATGTTGTTGGTCAGGTCCTGGAGGAGGGTCCCGTACTCAGCCATGACTGGGGTTGAGAGGAACAAAGGGAGAGGAGACTGAGCTTGAAGTGTGGAATCTGGTTCACTCACTGGCACTTCCCACTCCCTCCTCTACCCTACCAGGCAAGTGCCTAGAACACAGAGGTTGGGGAGGGCTAGGGCTGGAAGGAGAAAAGACAGAAGGGAGGGGGGAGCAGACAGGAAGATATTCAGAAGCTAGGTACCAGGCTGCAACCTGGAGTGACAAGTTACGCACCTTCCCCCAACCATGTTTTTTTCTTCCTTTTACCCCTCAAACAGTAACCCTGGCAACAGCTCCCCAGACTGAGGAGGCGGTTACCATAGCAACCTGCTCCTGAGTTTCTCACCAGCTGCCTCCAAGTCCCCCCTCCTCCACCTCACCAGAATCACCTCACCCACCTGCAACAACCCCATCAAAAAAGAAAAAAAAAACCCTTCAAAACAATGACCACAGGCATAGATGGACTGCCGTGGCAGTGAAAAGCTAAAAAAGAAGGGACTGGAGGTGGTGGGCTAGCTCTCATGTTCTGCCTTCCATTTTTCCTCAGAAGCAGACAGGTCCCTCACTCAACTCCCCACCACCCGACACATAACTCATTTTGGATGGAGGCCTAGTTGTTTGATCTAATGGTCCCCTGGCCCTTCTTTGCTCAGCCCTGTATTCAGTCATTAGGGTTCAGGATATGGAGGTGGGGAGGGGGAAAGCAATGGACCCACCCCCACCTATGCTGGAGCCCATTTTCTCCCTTGATTTCTGCCGGTCCTCCATGCAGCCCTTTCCTAAGCCTTTGTGCTGTGTCTTCGGCCCCAGAGCCCAAGAATACCAAGTGGATGGCTCTGGACCCCTGCCCAGTTCCCAGGCTGGCTGGGTGGCAGGGGAAAGGGGTTTATGTAGATACAACGTTGGGAGAGTTTGGCAGGAAGGAGGCTGTCACACCTGCTTGCATCAACACTGGCTGGTGCTACCTTCAGTAAGACCTCCCAAAAGTGGGTGGGCAAGGCTAGATCTCACCCAGATATTTACCCCACCTGTTCCGTGAAAATCCATAGCTCAAAGGTAGAGAACATTCAAGACCCTCCTTCCACTCACTAAGATAGGAACTGTGGCTAAGAAAGAAAGAAGGTCAGACCTTAGAATGAACTTTCTGGATCTGATAAAATGTGAAATTAGTGCGTTTATAAAGGGGACTCCCCCCACCATGAGTACATATTTTATAATCAGAAAAGTAAATCATTTTTAAAAGTAAATTATGTCATAGACACTCTGTAGCTAGACCAAGGAGTAGGACAAGGAGCTAAATGACCTTGTACTTGACTGAGACCCACAAATCATATCAACAATGGGCTGGGAATGTGGCAGATAGAAGGGGACTGGTTGACACCCCCTATTTTCCTTATATCTGGCCTATATGCAGGGAAACTGAGGCAGAGAGGCATGGCACAGTAAGACGCATGGAACCAGAAATCCTCATACCTCTTCTTGCCTCTTCTTGCACCAGAACAAACAAGCTTCCCTTGGAGGCAGGCAGTGTGATACAAATACACAATGAGCCAGGCAGCAGGGACAACACGACCCCTACCAGAAGCAGGCACTTACAGGCACGCTCACTGACACTCCCGGGTGCAACCAGACAGAAGGACCCAGCAGTGGCCCTGCCAGGCTGGGCCAGGAACAATGCTCTCTGACTGTCAGCACCAGGAACCATCTCTGCCTTGAAATCTAGGTCAAGGCAGCAGGCTCTGGAGCCCAGCTGCCCCCTCCACTGATAATCCGAGGGCAGAAAAGGGGGTTGAGGGCAAAAGGGATGATGGAGAAGAGGAACAGAGATGAGAATCAGTAATGGAGGCAGGGGTGTGAGAACTGAAAAGGGATGGGCAGCAAGAGAAGTAGGCAAGATGCCCCCAAGAAGATCCTGGCCTAGTGGAGGAGACCCTGAGACCAAGCCTTCAGCTGGAAAATGGGACAGAATTTAGGGTCGTCCTGCTCTGCTTTCACATGGAAAGAAGAGTTTGTAAAGATCTGGTGGGAGGAGAGAGAGAGAGAGAGAGAGAGAGAGAGAGAGAAAGAATATGTGTGTGTGTGTCTCCTGGGAGGAGTTAAGATGTAGGACTCTGAATCTAAAACAGATTTACAGGGGAGGTGGGATTAATGTGTGAGATACTAACCCATATCAGCTGGGAGTAGGCAGTGGGTAGGAGTTTTCTAAGGATGAAACCGATACAAGGAGAAATGGGGTAGGCATGTTCAAGTGGCGGGGGAGTATGTGTACCAGGGCTCCACTATGGCTGCTCACCCCTGGGTATGGGCACAGGCATCGGAGGAGGCAGTGGCTGGTTCTGTGGGTGTGTGGATGTGTTTGAACCAGCTGGGAGTATACGTAAGAAGGCAGGTAACCACAGGCTCACATCCAGAGCAAAGAGGAAGGGTGAGGGGATCCTACAGAACAGAGGAAGAGAGGTGGGATTGGGAGAGGGAAGGAGAGGCTCAGATGAGGAATCCTGGGGGGAGGGGGACAGGGAGCAGAGAGTCCAGGAGGAGAAGGCTGCTGCCTCAGCCCAGCAGTTACCATGGCAACCTCTGTTCTGGGTGCCCCCCACCTCAGGCATCAGGACAATGGCACCACTGGATGGGAGGGTGTGTGGGGAGTTGTGAGTAAGAACAAACGGACACAAAGCAGGAGAAAGGCCCCTTGAGGGAGCAGGGAGAGGCAGCTGGGTTGCCTCCCTCCCTGGAGAGATCCTGTTTGAGACAATGGCAGGATCGTTTGGGAGGAAATTTTGGGGGTGCAAGGAGGTGGACTCTCCTTACATGGCTCTCAAGTCTCACTGATAATTGTCCCTGGTGGGGCGGGGGTGGGAGGGCGTCTGGCCATGCTGGGGCTTGGCAGAAGTTTGGCTCCTTCACCCTCCATGTCACTTTCCTCACCAAGCTTTGGAATCCTCAAGCTATGGCAAAGCCTCCTAGCTCTGAAGAGTCCTCCAGATCTCTGGAGCAGTGCAGAGGTTGCCCAGGGAACACCAGGCAGCCTGGGTGAGGCCGTTCTTGGGACAGGATACCAGGGCAGGAACCGGAACCGGAGCCGAGGCTGCCAGGAAGTCAGCCCCTTCCCTCCCAGATCATTCTGTGCTCTGCTCATGGCTTCCTCACACCTTCCTTCCTACCTTCCTTCCTTCCTCCCTTCCTCCCTCTCCCTCTCCCTCCAAGCTGACCCAAGGTGGAGCCCTGTCAAAGATCCGACCAACTTAGGGCACTGAAGCAGAAGGGAGGGGGTAAGAATCATTGTATAGTGACCTTTTAGGAAGGAGTTGGGAGCAGGACAGGTAGGTATTCCATGGGCACTGAGGGAGGAAGGGGCAGGCCTGGGGCACTTTGAGAAGCTTAGCAAAATGGGATACCCCCTTGTGGAGGAGGTGCCTGCACCCAAAGAATCTCTGTGCATTCTGATATTAATTCATGATTATCCCCTCTCCCTAGCATTTACTTGCAAATCCTCAATACTTTTAAGAAGAAAGACTGAGGATTAGGAGCTGCTGCCCCTCCCTCCTTCCCTCCTTCCCTCCCTCACATCTGCAGCAGCTGCCCAAGGCTGAGGGGAGGGGCCATCCTGCACAGCTGCAAGGACCTGGAGATCCCTGAAGTGGGCAGAAGGGGGCTTGTAGACACTTAAGTCGATCAGTGTTGTAGGGGAAGGAAAGGGGAGGCAAGTTTGTTATCAAGGAGAAGCAGAGGTAGGGAGAGTACAGAGTTCCTATTTTAAGTGTTATCAGGCCCCCAAATTCAAGTATTCCTGTAGTTCATCCCTAAATATTCCATTAATATCATACTCAACTTACTTTTTCCTTCTATTCAGCTTTTGTAGAGGGGAAGGGATGGTATCTTTATTCCTATTATGAAGAATGGGATACCAGAGTCTGTGGATGTTCAGTTCAGTCCAAGGAGCAAAATGGGTCTCCGTTGGGCACAGGGTCAGTGTGAAGCACTTGGCCCTTAGTCTGAGAGAAGGAAGACCATACAGAGATGAGGACATCAGGAGATACTTGGCACTGGACCAGGCAGGGCAGAGGAGAGCCACCTGATAGTGGGGGCGGGGGGGCACGTGCCACATTCCCTTCATCTGGTTGTTTTTCTCTTTATTCCTGTTTCTGTTTTGTCTCTTCCTTATCCATTTCCTCTCTCCCTGGTCTCTCAGCCTCTTCCTCCTTTCCTCTCAGGGGGCTTTTACCCTATTCCATTTGGCAGTAGCCATGAACCCTTAGGACTCCTGGGTTCTTAGGACTCAGTGTCCCCATCTAAATACTGAGAACTACAATTCCCTTAGGAAGGAGTGGCTACCCTGCTGTTAAGTCTGGTGCGAAGCAGCCTGGGTTTGTTGGCTGCATACAGGTTGGTGATGTCCCCTGTGGCACTGTGCATGAGGATATGTGTGAGAGAATGAGAGGCTGGCATGGCAGGGCATGACTCTGTGGCTGTCTTCATGCATGACAATGCAATGCACACACGATGGGCACAGGTGTCAGGGAAATGAGGAAGTAGGCAACCAGGGCAGTCAGCAGCCTAGGGCATCTCTGGCAATTTCCCCAACACAGTGTTTAACCACAAAGGGAAGAGCAATTAAACCTAATCGCTCTGGGAGCCAGACGGGCAGGAGAGAAACAAAACACACAGATTCAGCATGTTTCCCCTAACTCCCTGTGGTCTCACATCTCACCACCACCCTGCTTTCCTCCCCTCTAATTTCTGAGCCTCTGCAGTCCATTGCCCAGCACTCATCCCACTCTTCTGGCCACCTCTGTCTCTCACTTCCTCCCTCTCCCAGTGCACTGACTGTCTCTGTCCCTTTCACACACATTCCCCTCATTCTCTCTCTCTGACTTGGGCTCCATCCTTTGGCTGACTCATACTCATTCTTTTTCTCCCTCTCCCTTGCTTCCACCCCCTCCTCCATCCCGTGGCCACTCTGGTGCCCAGAAACCAGCCACTCCCAGCACCCTAGGCTCTAACTGGAAGCAGCAGGAGTGGCCACTAGCAGCCTCTACTCTCCCTACTCAACCCAGTTTCAGAGCACCAGGCTCACTCGCCCTCAAGCTCCTGTCTCCCTGTCCTGGAGTAAGACCAGGATTTTTTCCCATCTTTTCTCACTGTTTTAAACAGGGGCAATCTGAAGTCTAGGGCTGGGAGAAGATGCCCAGAAAATTAGGGCGGACTTGGGGACAGGGTTCTCGCGAAGCTGTCCTGTTAAACTGGTGTTCTTCCACGACACTTGAAAGTGGGAGGTAGTGGGGTGAGGTGGGGGTTGGATGTGCGGTGCAGGGACGTTTGTGATCTGCCGTGTGCGAGATGTGTGTAGGTGTCACATGGGTGTGTGTCACCGTGTGTGCCGGGGTGTCTCCTGTAGGTGTGTGTCCCTGTCAGTTTTGACACGTATTATATGAAATTAATTAGGGGTTTTACGTTAGCTACTTCACTCCTCTACACCCCCAGATCCTTCCCTCCGGACAAACCGTCGCCAATCCCACTTCTTCCCCCGGTGCAGAGGGCGAGGTAGGAATGCGAGGTACTAGCGGAGCTGCCGAGAGACTGAGGGGGGTTGGGCCGAGAGGCTGGCCGCCCCCGAGGCGAGTCTGCAGCCAGAGGAGGGGAGGGGACGGCCGCCGAGCCGGCTGGGCGGGAAGCAGGCCCGTCAGACTCCCAAGCCGCTAGCCTGCAGGGACTGCGCGGCCGGCCGGAGACGCGCCGCCGCTGGCACAGACTCGAGGCGCCCCGCCGCGGACTGAGCCCGGGGTCCTGACCCAGTGGACCCGCCCCGGGCCCCATGCACCCCGCCTGCCCGGGCGTCCGGATCCACGCCCCCCGCAAGCCCAGACCCCAAATCCGCCCCCTCCCCGCGACACGTCCGCTCTGCGCCCTCTCACCGCCTCGGGGCTGAGTGCGCAGGGTGCGGGCACTCCGGCGTCCCCGGTTCCTGAGCAGCGCCCGGAGCCTCCTCCTTGGCTCCCGCCGCCGCACCGCTTCCGCCCGCGGAGCCGGAGCCGGAGCCCAGCGCTGCCTCGCCCCACCCGGCTGACCGTGACGTCAGAGCCGGGGAGGAGCGGCGAGCGGCGAGGGGGGTACCGAGGGGCTGGGGATCTGGAAGACTCGTGGGAGAGACGCTACCTCCTTCCCTAAACCTCCACTTCCAATTCTCAGATTTAATTCTTTCCCTCCAGGACACCCTCCTCCCCTGCTGACCTTACGCTGAGTACAATGGCTGGGACCCTGGGAGACGCATAGTAAGTTAGAGTTGAGGGGTCTGGAAGGCCTTTTGCTTCTGGGTTCTCTTTGCTGCCCGAATTTGGAAAAACTTCTACCCCTACTTTATGGGTCATAGGTTATGACAGCTCAGACTGTCCACGTTGGAGGTTGAGGGTGGAGGTCGGGGCTGGGGACCAGAAGAAATTCTGGGGCCTCCTTCGCTGGACCTGGAGCCACAGATCTCTGTCTAAGATGGAGTCGGCCAGCCCCTTTTGTGTTTTGGGTATTTATTTATTTACTTATTTATTTTATCTTTCCCAAATATACCACTTGCCAACCCCCCACCATGATGTCATTTTATTTTCCAGGGAGAAAAAGAGCAGCAGTGAGCTCAGCATGCAAATATAGGCAACTTGCAAAGCCACACTTAGCTGTGTCTCCTGGCTCTGCCCCTCTGCCCCGGCTCCGAGTGGCAGCTCTCACTTCCCTTACACCCCAGGGACTTTCCTCCCACAGATTCTCAGACAGACTGAGAGAAGGAAGGAAGACCTGGGGAAACATCTGTTTTCACCCCCATCTCCAGCCTAAGGGGCCTGGCCTCAACTCTGGCAGAGTCTGACCCTGGGAAGAGGCCTGAGCCCCATCAGTGTCTGGGCCACTTCTGAGACTGCCCTGGCTACCCCTCAGTTTCAGCCTGGTAGAGAGCCCTCAGGAAGCCACAAGTGACCCCTCCTTTCTCGAGTTCACACTGCCCTTCCAAGAGGCTCAGGGTCCTGCTGCTTTGGGTTTCAAAGCACTTCTTTTAGCTCTTTACCCTCTCCTCCAGTTTGCCCTGTCCCTGTCCCTTTGCCGGTAATGTCTTCATAATTTGCCTCTGTATGTATCTCATTTGTTCTATGTGGTAGAGCCAAAGTATTTTATTGACCCAAAGAAACTAAATGACTTATCTACATCAGTGGAAGTTCCAGGCCTTCCAGGAGCAATGAGGTACAGGGGACTTAGGCTTCATGCTGTCTCTGCTCCTTTCTCGGGCTTGTTATACTTCTGAGCCTTGTTGGTATCCTTGCTGGTAAGATCTTACAGGGTTCTTCTGATATTTAAAAGTTGTCATTCTCTAGGGACTAGCTCAGATGGAAGCTTAAAATGTGGGAGCTATTGTTTAATCCAGGCCTTGCACTGACCTATACTAAACAGAAAGCTCCATGATATTATTGTATTACACTATGTATTAAACAGTTATTAAATGAGTACAAGTTGGATGAATACATGGTTTCTGCTCTACACTTCTGCCACTTTTTCCAAGAACACTTCCTGGATTTGTCTGTGGAGGCTGAAAACTTTTCTAACCTCAGGTCTCATTCTTCCATATGCAGAAATCCTCTAAATCTCCTGGCAACACCCTTATACCTGACCCATGACGACTCTGTTATGGGCTTGTTCAGTTGTTTGGTTTCCCCACCCCCACCCCTGACCCCAGCCTGGGCTGTGCTGGAGAGAATGTGAATCCTTCCTGCCGGGAACTCTAGCAGGGCCAGGTCTGGGGAACCCCCAGTGTACAAAACCCAGTGTCTCCTCTCCATTCCCATGGCCGCCACTTAGGCCCATGTTTTCCCAGCATCACCCCAATTATTGTAACAGTCTCTGATCATAAGAGCCGAACTCCCTGCCTCTGGTATCTCTATCATCTCCCCTCCCTAGATCCATCCTGCTCACCAGTGCCAGATTAAATTTTTCCTTTCCTCCCCAACTCACAGGATAAAATTCAAACACCTCTACAATCTAGGTCCATCATGTCCACTCCATGTCACAGCCTCCACTTAGCTTCTCTTTTTGTCTTCTCGTCTCATCTGTGTCTCCAAAAGGACACATATATTCTTCTGGTACTTTAGACATTTCCACTGACTGAAATGTTCCCTCCTCAACTTTCTTGCATCTTGTCAAAATCCCATTCTTTAAGGCCTAGAAAGATATTTACTTCATTAATGAAGCCATTAATGCCGACCCCGACCTCTCTCTTCTGAACCCATTCTATTCATTTGTCCCTTTTTTTAACCAACATTTATTAGGGACTCCTTTTTGTGTGCCAGGTCCTGTGGACACAGAGAAGGCCTGTGTTCCTGCCTTCAAGGGACACACAGTCTAATAGGGCAGACAGACATGTAAATGAAGAGCTAGCATAGAATGTGCTTAGTATGAGAACAGAGGTGTATAGAAAAGGTGCAGTGTGAATCCAGAGGCATGAACTGAGGAAGGGACCAGCTCTGGAAAGGCCTCACCAAGGAAGTGTTATTTGGGCTCAGTTTTGACATTCAAATGAGAGCTGGAGGGAGGTATCAAGTGACACATAATCACTTAATTACACACTACTTTGTATTTTTCTTCCATTGTTTAGTGTGCTTGTGTTGACTTCTCAGTGAGGCTAATCAGCTCAAGAGCAGGGACAGGCCCAGCACTCACTGTTCTCCTAGAGCTTAACAGCGGTGCTAGACAAACACCATGTGTCCAGCAAAGGCTTGCTGACTTGCAGCAGATAAATAATCCAAGCTTCTCTGGGATAACTGCCTGAGGCAAGCCCCAACTCCCTGCCTATGGCCTATCTGCAGCACCTCACAAGGCACTCACACTTAAGCCCCCCGCCGCCCCCCCCACCCCCGCTGATTCCCTCCTGCCACAGGGGCAGACACTTGCCCAGCTGCCCCAGATCCTTTATTGAAGCCTTGGTTTGACCCAAATACATTAACAAGAGATTGCTGAGATACAGCCCCAAACACAGGGAGAGGAAGTCAGAAGGATGTAGGATCTGAGAGAGTGGGGGAAGAGTGTACACAGGTGCAGGGAACAGAAGAGATATTGGGGCCCAGAGATATGGCAAGAAGAAAACCACAAGAAAGGATTTAAGGAGTAATGGAAGAAACAAATAATAGGTACAGGGACATTGTGGGACAAGAAACAGAAGTCAGATGAGATAGCTGGGCTGTTGTGTAGGGAAAGGAACTCCTTTCCTCATCAGGCAAGAGGGACTAGGGTCTCAGCCCTTAGCATAGAGACCCCAAGGGACCCAATGGCAAAAAATGACCTAGTGTCTCTGGAGAAGCTCAGGGAAGGCAGGAAGGAGCCTGAGCAGGTGGGGCAGAGAGGTGGTTGCCATAGCAACTAGTCGTCGTCATCATCATCATCGTCGTCGTCATCGTCATCATCATCATCATCATCATCCTCTGTGTTGATCTCACCCTCCAGCACATCCTGCAGCCAGTCCTCCAGCTCCTCAGCAGAAGGCAGGTCCTCCTCATCATCCATCTCCATCCATATGCTGTCAGCCTAGGACATGGCACAGACAGAGGACTGGAGCTAAGCCTGATTTAGGTCTTTGGACCTGTCATCCCACTCAATGGACTCTGTGCATTTTCCCCTACATCCTCTGTCCCCTCTCTTCATCTACCAGTTGTCAGAGAAGAAGGTCTAGGCTAGAACAGTAACAGTAGGAGTAGAAAAAAAGGCTGGATGGGCAAATAGGTCTTCTCCCTTCATTATTTCCGCCATGCCCTTGTCATTCTGAGTTTCCTAAAACAGATGTCTCCTATTGAGCCCTTGATGCAAAACCACTGACGGCTCTTCATGGCCTAAAGAATAAAGTCAAAAACTCCAGCATTCAAGGCTTTTTATAACTTCCTTTTCCAGCACCATTCTCAGAAATCTCTAGACTCTCAAGTCATAAAAAAACTAGTTGTCTTTTTCCAATCTGAATATTCATTTTCCGACCTTTTGACCTTTTGCACCAACTTTTCCATCAGTGTGAAAATGACTTCTCATAATTTTCACTTGTAGAACTCCCTCTACGTTGTGCAGCCTCCGCTTTGAATGCCAGTCCTTTTAAACCCTTCTCTGATTTTCTCAAGCAGAAATCACTTTGATTTCTGTGCCTTCCTAGCATTTTGTTTGTATCTTTTATTATAGAGTTTATCAGATATGGCCTGGTAATTAATGGAATGCCTTCCTCCCTTGTTAAACTGGGAATTATAGAAAGCAAAGACTATAGATTATCCAATTCAACTCAAACAATTTCAAAGCACCTATCGTGTGAATGAGAAGATTTCTGCCCTGAAAAATCTCAAAGTCCACTGGAAGAGACACGCATGGTGCATAAATAGATACATGAAAGTCATCTTCTCAATGCTGAATGGGCTCTGAGAGTGCTAAGGAAAAAATAATTCCAAGTGGGAGATCTGGAAAGACTTGATAGAGAAGAGGCTATTCGAATTGGGCCTTGTAGGATGAGCAGCCAGTTCTAACAGGTGGAGATGGCTGTGTTCAGAGCATGAATCTGTCCCTCTATCCTCCCATTAGACTGGGTATGTCTGATTCTTCTGGGAAGGACTCAACTGCACCAGCAGAGGAGGGCCGGCTACCCTGAGAAGCAAAGTTGGGGGTCAACCGGGGTGAGGGGTGAGGGAAGGAAACTTACATCAGTAACATTGACAACTCCTATTTGTGGGGCGGACAGGTCAATATCAAACGTCTTCTCCCAGTATGGAACCAGCTGTGGAGAGACAACATGGGGCCACTTAATGCAGTTGAGGAACACGTGAGTCCGGGAGGGTGTGACGGTCAGCACGGGGCAGAGGACACTGAACCCACAGCGAGTGGTGGATGGAGCCAGCTGCCGGGCCTGGGGGATGGGTAGAAAGCTAAGAAGTTAAAGAGTAGGAATCCCTAAAGGAAAGTATCGGGAGGACCAACTAGGGCCATTGACTCCTTTCCAAGAACTAGATAGGAAACCCCTGTTCTAATTCTGGATCAGCTCCTGAGTGACCC